AAACAACCTATCTAGCATGATCTCTTTAGAAATTTACTTGTTTCATGTACGAAGCAGTCTGATTTCAGCTTATCCCCAAATGTAAGGCTTATATTTTATGTAACTAATTTTACTACTTAATTTTAATTTCAGCATACCAGTAATTTCCGGTAAACAATTTTTCCATGATGTGTTCCATGACCTAGATGATTTAACAGTGGGATTTTTTGTTGTCTGTCTGGTGAATACCATCAGTGCCTAACTCATGAAGTACTACATGAAGTGGCTCATCGATTCAACCACGAAGAAGAGATTACAACATGAATTAAATCTGAATCAGCTGAAAATCTCCACCATTCTGATACATTTGTTGCAGTTAGTAGGCTTTCGACCAATTATTGGGAATACATCTTCCACCGACTGGCGAAACTCGAAAACTGAACGAAACAATTAATCAGGATGAAAATATGTAGACATCAAACAATAGCTTCAATAATTTCCACAGGAAGATTATGACTTCGACAATATAATTGAACAACAAATCTAGGAATACTGTCAAAATCCGTACCAACCACAATATAGGTAACACCAGATAGGGCACTCAATAAGACCAAATCAAAACAAAACGGATGGATGTCTGCCGAAGTGTCGGATTACAAAGAGAACAAATAAAATACCAATGCTTCAAATCCTGCAACTCCGTTGACATATCTATTCCTGAAAATGATTATTTTCATAAGCTGCGTGACATTAAAACTTCTAAACACCTTGTTATGTTGCATAAGCAACACTCTTTCCTTTCATGTTCTCGAGACCATTTCTCAATTTCACCTGTCTAAAATTTCAGTTGACATTAATAACCACGATAAAATTAAAGTTGGAGAATGAATCCTGTTCATACAATATGGAATTTCCTTATATTAACATGCCCCCTGAATGCCCTGGTACGGCCGAGAGTGGGGAGAGTCCGCTCTCCCTCTCGAAATACTCTCACACGGCCACGCGTATACAGCCTCTGCCAGGGAAGTCCTACTCATTGCCTTCTCGTGGCGGGGGTGTTGTTTACGAAAATGAGAGGACGAAAAGCGAATGTCCGGCGCTTTAACCGGATTCCAAATCAATGGTGCACATGGGCTCCAGTATCCTGCGGGAACAAATGGCGTATGAACCAATCGTTGGTCACCGGCTACCATGGGACTGCATCTCCTTACGATACTCCACTGCCTTGTGGGTTAGACCTTTAGGTCAAAGACTCGGGGAGTGGCCCCCTAAGATAACCACCTGCTTCGGTTTGGGCACCCGGGCAGTATCACAGCCCACACACAAATTGATGAACTCTTTATGCCTATGGAAATTACCTTTCTCGCTTTGAAAAACAAACAATTGATTCAGATTATTATCATTACAACTATTGTCATTATTAATACTAATATTATTATTACTGCTATTATTGTCATTGTTATTATTATTATTGTTATTATTATTATTATTATTATTATTATTATTATTATTATTATTATTATTATTATTATTATTTTCCACATTATTCACCCTCTTTTATACTTATACAGCGGCTCGTCTTTGGTGAAAATTCGACTGCATCTAAACGTTCTCGAATCACTGTCCGGTTGAAAATTGCATGTTACCACCGAATACGAGGACTGAAGCAGATTTTCTGAAACCACGTGCACCATTCAAACTGGCTGCCTTCAACGTTCGCACATTTATGCAGGTCGGACAACAGATAGGGCTGGCTATGTCTTTGGAAAGTCTTAATATTGATGTTTGTTGTCTATCCGAGACCCGTATTCAAGACTCTGGCATCTTCGTCTGGTCTTGCTGGCGTTGGTGTCGCACTAAGCGCTAGAGCTGAGGCAGCACTAGTCGATTGGATCCCCATTAACAGTCGGTTATGTGCTGTTAGATTAGAAAGTTCCATCAAAGTGAGAAGAAATCGGCGTGAGAAACGATGTCTTTTCGTCATCTCCGCCTATGCCCCGACAGATTTCAGCCCGGATGCAATCAAGGATGAGTTTTACCACCAGTTATCTGTTCTTCTCCAGAAAGTGCGTTCGACAGATATTGTAGTACTAGCTGGAGACTTGAATGCTCAGGTCGGGCGTCTAGGCACAGAAGAGAGTCGTTTAGGTGGCCGATGAGGACTCGTTGGTCGCAGGTCAGATAACGGGGACCGTCTACTGCAACTTTGCACAGACCACAACCTGTTTCTGGCTAGCACTAACTTTCGGCACAGTCATCGCCGATGTGCCACCTGGCGTCCTCCCTCTGCATCCCAAGCCTGAACTCAGATTGATCACATCGCGATCAGCTACCGCTGGCGTGGTTGTGTACAAGACTGCCGCTCCTTTTGGAGTACCTATCTGGACTCTGACCATGCCTTGGTCTACGCCAATCTTGCCTTACTTTTCAGTGGACAACGAAGTGAACGCCATCAACGGATTGATGTTAGCAAGCTGGTGGCAACTTCTGTTGCAAGTAAGTATCGAACCGAGCTAGCCTCTAGGCTAGCTACCACTCCACCGAAAAGTATAGATGAGCATTGGTTGCAATTGCATGACGCCATAAAAATGGCGAGAACAGTCAGTTGTGGGTTTGCAAAACGTCCCGCTCTTAAGCACTGGGTTTCTTCAGGTTCCTTACAACTCATTGAAGCCCGTCGGTCTACTCCGGGTGACCGTGAGTTTGACCATAAACGAAGGATGTTACGTAAGGAAATTGGGCAAAGCTTGCGTAAGGACCGAGAAGCCTGGTGGTCGATGCGTGCTAATGAGCTGGAAGCAGCAGCTGCATCTGGTAACTACCGGAAGCTCTTCCAACTCATCCGAGCCACTGGCAGCAAGAAGTCTGGTGTGAGTGAAACAATCTGAGAGGAAGATGGGATGCCAATCACTAACATCCATCGACGTCTTGGACGATGGGCAGAATTTTTCGAAGGGCAGTTCAACTGGCCTGCTGCTCCGGCAACATCGGTCAGACTGTCCTGCACTCCATGGCCGGTGACGACTGATCCACCAAATGAGGAGGAAGTCCGCAAGGAACTCCAACTCTTGAAGCGTTACAAATCACCTGGCCCAGATGACTTACCTCCAGCTCTTTTTAAAGATGGTGGTGACTTTTTGACTAAGGAATTGACGACGTTGTTTACAAAATTAGTCACTATATACATCACTCATAAGTATTAGTCCAACACTGATCAGGGACATTGGAAAAAATGACTAAACAGAAACATTACCTACCAAATAAAAATCAACGTTATCTACTGCAAAGCATATTTAATGAAAATTTTTACGTCATGTTTCTCGAAAATAATTTTATGTCACTTCATTGCAAAACGTATATAGATATTTCTAAATGATATTGCATGGAACATGTGAAATGCCAGTCACAGTCTACATACATCTGCTCTGGACATAAAAATGATTATTTCAATTGTGACTACATCAATATAAGCAAAATTTGATTATCATTTTCAAATCATTTCATTTTGATATGTGGGAGGAAAACTGTGTTTCGTCTTCCAAAATAAATTATTCAATATGAATAGGTAGTGTTATGAATGCAAGTTCTATGAAGGCACTATTCGCTGATATATATGAATTTAAGGTGGGAAAATATATAGTAAGTTAGGATGATGATTTGTAGCTCGGGAGTTTTATTCTTTGAGCTGGATAGTTAGGTTATTTGACATCCTTATGAAAAATAGGTTGGTATCAATTTGGTAACATTTAACATAGTATCAAAACATCTCAGTAACCACAGAATTCAAAAATAACCAACCACGGTGTTAAAACATTCTTGCCATAATGTTAAATGATGAACTCACCACAACTGAACACTAAACAGATAGCCTCGCCATTTCAATAGTAGTGACCTATTTAAATATGAACAGTTTTGGTTAATTCAGTAAATTCGGAATTTAGGACACACGTTTTATCCTGTTTGAAGCAAAACGTAGTGGTGTGGAGTTCCAGTGTGAACACAAAACTGGGAAGCGGGTGCCTCTAAGTGATGAGTCTCAAATAGGACGGAACGGACGACCTAAATCCTACTGATAATCACCATCCAACTTTAAAATGTTTAAGAATATTTGGTGATATCGAGGCAGTCTTTTCAGGATGTATATTTGCTAAAAGTGATTGATAATTTGCAGTTCTTAACATCAATGGAATGATAAAAATACAAACAAAGTTTGTTAGTGTTCATTGTGAAAGATCAATGAATACAAGGAAATAACACGTAGCGCCACTCATTTTCTAGCCACAGGTTTATGTACTAAGTCGTAATCAAAGTAGGCAGGGTGCGGTTCAATCTGGAGAATAGATGCTTGAAAGCTGAGACACAAGCTGCATGACGCATGCAAACAACCGTTACCTAGATATTTTTATTGTCATTAAAAAGGAACAATAACAGCAATAGTAAAAGCCACGATCCTCTCTGGTTTGAATAAAATGGGAGTGATGGTGTCGATTTATGGGCTACATTGATTACAAAGGGTCTTACCAATCCCCATGATGATTTCTGGGATTTTTTTCCCGTATGGCTTAATTATTCATTTCGTGGTTCCCGAGGTTTATTTGACGAAGACGAGTCGATTAATCGGACACTTTAACGAAATCAATGAGGTAGTTATATTTACGGAAGACATAGGGAAAATGTCAAAATTATATATCAGAGAATTTCTGGATGCGTTACAAACAGATCAATCAGTAATCAATAAACCTGACGAACCAAACCCTATCAACTAATCTACTTGAAAACTGTCAGTGGGGCGGGACAGACAACTTGAATACAAGAATCACAAACAAGGTCACCAGAACAAACTGGTTTTGAAACTCGTGAAATGACTAAGCTCACTTCTACATCAGGTAAACCCAGATGATCATGTCCAGAATGACAATGAAAGCTCAGTGATAAAACCATCCACCTGAGAGAACTACATAATACCAAAAGTATACACTTAAGCTGCAAATCTTCATCATTTCAAGAAGAAAAATACAGTTCAAGTATCAAAAACTATATTTTTCTTTATACACAGTAAAAAACTTTATTTTCAGAAAAAAACAATTAAATCTTTTCAAGAGCAGAAAAAGAATACATGAGGGAAGAAAAAAATTGTGAAAGAAACTCAAATTATTGAGAGCTTAAAGATATTTTGATAGCTCGTTCCACCCTGACTAACCGATACAAAAAAACGATATTACAAGTATTTCAATACGAAAACTATACATTAGGCGTGAAATATGTCAGACAGAAAGTCATTCCATCATATATAATATGAACATTTATTTTCGCATAATTTCTACATTGGATAATGAAGGAAATTTTTCTAATGCCCATTTCAATTGAACTTCTGTGGCGCCTAAATAACGCGCGATCCCTAGCAATATTCTATATAATACAGTATAATAAACACCATGTCTTAATGCATAATCAGTTGGAACACCAGCCGCAGCTGTTCTACTACGTGTACGAATTACATCACCCAAATATTGATGTGATTTTAACGCCAGATCAATAGCATGAAATGCTCGACATGAACGTGGATAACCATTGATACATTTTAAATAATGTGAATAGATAAAATGAGGTTGTCCAGCTATTGGTACTCCAGACCTATAAAAAGACCGAAACGAGAAACAAGAGATTCCATGAAATAATATAAATCATATATTAATTATTGAACTAAAGAAGATAGATAACAACATCAGATTGAGAATTTTCAAGGTGACGAGTAGTATCAAACAGCACGAGATTTTTGTTCGGAGCTTTCTGTAAACTACCTCTAAACACCATACAGGTAAGTACAAACAATGAGTTTTTTTCGCCATTGAGATCACATAACATTCCAAATCACTAATCATGACTATTGCACGGATCCCAACAACCAAGTAGTCAGTACCTACCGATGATATAAATCAGATCAACCGACAAAAGATTCATACACCAACCTTATGCGTTTGATTTTTTTTAAAATCATTAACTACTTAACATTAAATAACAGGGAACAGTTGTCATTAATAAAAATTGCTGCGCGAAAAAGAAAAAAACGATATTCAAAAAACAATAATAAAGATCTATATACACATACCAATTTGTTTGTACATTTACAATCCAACTTCCAAGCCAACAACTTAATGCCCATAAAACACTCTTCTGATGAATATATTTATCATCTAAGTGTAGTCGATAGGCAAAACAACCCATTCCAACACCTGGTCTCTGTAATGTATAATACACTGCGGAATCCCAATTAACTGGTAACTGAACACCTGAAAATTTAAATACACAAAAGGATAAAAGATTAGTTGGATTAATCACTGTATTAAGAATGTCACGATGCATATAATAATTAATGAACAATAGATAAAGATCGCGATGACTTGGTGAATAAACCATATGGCTTTCAATAAACAAGTCGAAGATTTGAAACTTGATCCAACTGTTACAATTTGGTCAAGGAACTGTTTGAATCACTATTATTGATATTATTACTTCAACTACTCTAGCCTTTTTCTTAATAATTTCATCTCCCCGTTCTGATATATACACATATAGTGTGGCAACTTGGATGGATGCACAGAACGGCCAGGTCCTGTTTTTCTTACAACTGAATGAATGACATGTAAGAATGTGGAGGGGAAGTCAAAAGTTGAACTCGTTTCAAAACCGAAGACATACAAGCAGTAAGTTTTCTTAACTACTCTCAACTTCTCTCAAACAGTAACTCCTCGACAACATCGAATGATGATGACCGTACAACACCGGTAGTTAAAAGAGGTAAAAAAAAAACGTACACTATTGGATCTAAACTATGATAATACTTATTAATATTGTGCTCAGAGAAATTTTAATGTTTGGACAGTTCTACCACATTTGTAGCTCGTAATTTCAAATCGGTTGAGGAATATCAAGCTAGGCACGAAAGCATTACTGTCTAGTCTCATTCCTTCTGCTAACTGAGTGACTTCTTTCCATCAAGTGTCAATTCATGATGAAAATAATAATTATGTATGATGTACAATCCCACAATAATGAGAGAGAAATAAAGCTGAAATACCAATGATAAAAGTCACTACCTGGTTCCAAAATAACTAACATTGAGCCATTAGCATATTGATCTATAGCATAGCGAATAAGTTCACCCCGACTCGGTGTCAATATGCTCGTGACCGATGGATCATAATGATATAATTCAACATTGACCATACAACGAGGATGTACAATATCATGCAAATACTCTGTTGTGATTGGATGAGCAGTAGAAGAATTTAACAATTTACCAGTTTGAGGATATTTCGATGGTGAACTGTCTATAATTATAATCTAAAATTCAAATAAACATACACTTATGATCAATATACACAGACAAAAATAATAAAAGAAAAAAAGAATACAAATCCTGAAAACAATAATAATAAAATGTTGGGGAACAGAGCAAGGATAATAAGGTTCGAATCCCATGTACGGGATCGTGAATGCGCACTGCTGAGGAGTCCCATACTAGAATGAAACAGCCATCTAGTGCTTCCAGGTTTGAAATAGTAGTCTAATATTGATTTATTCATGATCTCAATCAAAACTCAACAATCTCTATAACTGACAACAAGATTTGTAAAATTGTGAATAACTTTGAATTATCCCATTTCAAATTTACATATTGTCAACTGTAAAAATAGCCCTCAAGTTATGAAGAATAAAATTATTAAGAGTATAGATTTTGGAGATTACTGAATGTTATTAATATTATGGACCGGCCTAAGTTAGCCATCCAATGGAAATCAGGAAGTACTGGACAGTTGTTTCGTTTTAGTATGGGACTCTTTAGCAGTGTGCATCAACGTCCCTAACAAAGAGGATAAAATCACAAGACCTTCAGTCTTGCACACGAACGCCAGACCTCTAGACCAATGAATCAGAATCGAATGGTATTTATGTTTATAACTTCAATTAATTCACAAGACTGTGCAAAAAACGCCAATTGTTTTCGACATGTACCTTCCTCACATGAGGCAACACTGAACTCCACTAGTTATAGCTCCTCACTGTAATTCCCGAATTACCTATTGAAATTATTCACATTATAATTATCAGTTTAGCGGTTCGTTTAGATTCCTAGTTTTCGATAGACATCTAACTTATTTCGTGATATCATTGATATTCTTATTAAAAACAGTTCGACACACCTCAGTTAATGAAACTGATATGGATATTTGAAACAGGACAAAGCATGATAATAATAAGTGAATACAGATACAAAATATTATAGTATGAAGCATATTAGTTGAGATTAATACTGAAAATCTAATTGTATAAAGTAGGGCAAGTTATATCGGCCAGCTTGAATATTTGGGCTACCTGTTCCTACCATCTACAAATTTCAACAACTCATTTATTTCCATGTTTGTTTTAATACATCATTATGTTAATTATTTGCATAAAATATTCAGATGTGTTTGTGAAAAGTTTACGATCTTTCTCTTTACAAATTACAAAAATGTACAATCACAAATATCGTGATGGCTGGCAATATGGATTGGAAAAAATGAATATTATTCAGATGTCGATTCCTGAACTGCTAACATCTAACTGGCGACCACTCAATATTTATCTTTAATATCGATGAAGAAACAAGAAACGGAAACTCGCTGAAGTACTTTGTGCTGAGAATTCTGTATTGTACGAAAAATATAATCTTAAATAAAACTAATAAAAAATAAATAACAATAATTAATAATCCTAATCAAAATACAAATACCAAATGACTACATAATCAAAAGACATAATTAGAATGAAAATTAGCTAAATAATGAGTAAATATTGGTGAGTGAGTACAATTAAAGAACATACAATAGGTGAAACTACCACAGTTACAAAAATCTTTATCAATTCTTAAATATATAATCGCTTTGATAAATTTCGATAATGCAATGAGAAGACGAAGTTTATCAGAATTATGTGATATATTTGCGCAATACATTTCGAACAATCTGATCACACATATACCTGTTAAGAACATTTATATATGAAAATTAAAAGGTCAACTAGACAGGTTAAGGGTAAGTCATAACAGAGGAAAAATATTAAAGTACACAAAAACAAATATGATTACCACTCTGGACAATAAATCAGTATTACCAGGGTAGGTTAAGTGTAAGGACAAACTATTTTTGAACACATAAAGGGGGTTTCGATTTCCGTATAGCCAAGGTTTCAATAAACCTTAGTATACGTCCTTGAAGGCTTTTGTATAACATTACAAATGCCAATTTGACGGCCGATTTGGTGGCCTGCTTGAGCATCTGGGCTACCTGTTCCTGTCATCTAAATATTTCAACAAGTTATCTATTTTTGTTTGTTTTAATATAGCATTATGTATATTAATCGCATAACCCATCCTAGTGCATTTCTGAAAAGTTTACAACCTTTCGTTGTCAAAGTTACAAAAAGCTCAATAAGAGATAATGTGGTCGCTGGCAATATGCAGAGAAAAGAATATACATTATTCAGATGTTTATTTACTGGACTGCTAACATCTAACTGGCTATCACTCAATATTTATCGTCAGGATCGACCAAGAAGAAAGAAACGGGAACTTGTTGAAATACTTTGTGCTGAGAATTCTATATTGTACCGAAAATATAATATTGAATAAAGCTTATAATAATAATAATAATAAAAATAAATAATAACCCGTCTCAATCAAATGTTTCGCAACGGAGGATGATGTCTGTCTATCCTGTGATCTTATTTGACCTTTGGAATCCATTTGTTTCAGCAACCATTTTGGTATGTGTTCACCAACAATTAATTGCAAATCACGATTGCTCCTCCTTATGTACGTGTTTCCACATATACATGAGAATTGATAGACACAATGGGATGTGACACAATCGCTTTCGTGCCGTTTGGACTTTTGGTGAAACATAGACCTTGTCTTTTCGATAATGACAAGTTGGGCTGCATAAAATGTCCAGTTGATAGCTAATTTAAGTCTCCGTTTCAACATGAGACTATTTGTGTCGCCTTTGAATGATAACGTAATATAAACTCGCTTTTTGGGTGCCAGAAGCGTCATAGGTCTAGTCGTATTGCAACCCTTCCAGAGGTTTATGAACTTCAAAGAATAACCATTATTCATTAACATATCAGTCAAGAGCTCCGTCTCTACTTCAATAGTATCACTAGTACAAATACGATTGATTCTATTGAATAAGCTCTTTATTAGACCGCGTTTGTAATGAATAGGGCAGTGACTATGAAAATTAAGATATTGCCCTGTCCATGTTGGCTTTCTATATATAGCACGTTGGATGGAACCATAATCTCTCCTACTAATCAGGATGTCTAGAAAAGGAAGTTGGTTATTCTTTTCTTCTTCACATGTAAAAGAAATTTGCTTTTGACTTCTATTGAATTCTTTAACAAGCGGTTTATGTCTTCACCGTTATCCCCTATGATTATTATATCGTCAATGTATCGTTTATACAGACCCATCTTTCGAATTGAGTCTTCAACTCAACATCAGCCAGCAATGGTCCTAGAGGGTTACCCATAGCTACACCATCTATTTGTCGGAAGTGCTCACCTTCAAAAGTGAATTTTACATTATCTGTACACAATAATAATAAATCTTTAAGAGTGTTAACAGGAAATGGCAGTGGAAGGTTATTCAAAGAAATATAGTCACACAAAATATCAATGGTTTTCCTGAGAGGTACATTTGTAAATAAAGTGTTCACATCAAAGGAGCACATGGTCTTTGTATTTATATTTATGTCCTTTAAGTAATTAATTAATTAATTCAAATGAGTCAGTCAATAAAAACTTACAATATTGATTTCGGATAGGGTTTAATACTGTTGTAAGAGCATCAGTTTCATTCTTCTGGACCAAAGCAGAGAAACATATTAACTTATCGGCACTTCAAATCATTAATAGAATTGCAAAATAATCCCGATATTATTATACTTAAACCCGATAAAGGATCTGGTGTTGTTATTATGAATAAGTCAGATTACAAAAATAAAATGAAATCCATTCTCAGTGATAAAAGCAATTTTTTGGCTGATGTTGACTTTGATGGATTACGTAAATTAGAAAAGAAAATGAACTCGAATCTTGTAAAATTGTTAAACATGAATGCTATTAACAAAGATGAGTTTAATTTATTAAAACCTATGGGTTCGGCATATCCTAATTTATATGGATTACCGAAAATTCATAAGCCTAATACCCCCCTACGTTCAATTCTATCTGTGTGTCGGTCACCTACACACAACCTGGCAAAATGGCTTACAAAATTATTAAACCCTATCAGAAATCAATATTGTAAGTATTCTTTGACTGACTCATTCGAATTAATCAATTAATTAAAGGATATAAATATAAAGACAAAGACAATGTGCTCCGGGTGGTGCGCGGTCGTGGATGCGCACTGCTGAGGAGTCCCATACTAGGACGAAACGGCCGTCCAGTGCTTCCAGGTTTTCAATGGTGGTCTAGCTTCAACTGACTCATGAGTTCAATCTGTGAAAATTACAAATGTACCTCTCAGGAAAACCATTGATATTTTGTGTGACTATATTTCTTTGAATAACCTTCCACTGCCATTTCCTGTTAACACTCTTAAAGATTTATTATTATTGTGTACAGATAATGTAAAATTCACTTTTGAAGGTGAGCACTTCCGACAAATAGATGGTGTAGCTATGGGTAACCCTCTAGGACCATTGCTGGCTGATGTTGAGTTGAAGACTCAATTCGAAAGATGGGTCTGTATAAACGATACATTGACGATATAATAATCATAGGGGATAACGGTGAAGACATAAACCGCTTGTTAAAGAATTCAATAGAAGTCAAAAGCAAATTTCTTTTACATGTGAAGAAGAAAAGAATAACCAACTTCCTTTTCTAGACATCCTGATTAGTAGGAGAGATTATGGTTCCATCCAACGTGCTATATATAGAAAGCCAACATGGACAGGGCAATATCTTAATTTTCATAGTCACTGCCCTATTCATTACAAACGCGGTCTAATAAAGAGCTTATTCAATAGAATCAATCGTATTTGTACTAGTGATACTATTGAAGTAGAGACGGAGCTCTTGACTGATATGTTAATGAATAATGGTTATTCTTTGAAGTTCATAAACCTCTGGAAGGGTTGCAATACGACTAGACCTATGACGCTTCTGGCACCCAAAAAGCGAGTTTATATTACGTTATCATTCAAAGGCGACACAAATAGTCTCATGTTGAAACGGAGACTTAAATTAGCTATCAACTGGACATTTTATGCAGCCCAACTTGTCATTATCGAAAAGACAAGGTCTATGTTTCACCAAAAGTCCAAACGGCACGAAAGCGATTGTGTCACATCCCATTGTGTCTATCAATTCTCATGTATATGTGGAAACACGTACATAAGGAGGAGCAATCGTGATTTGCAATTAATTGTTGGTGAACACATACCAAAATGGTTGCTGAAACAAATGGATTCCAAAGGTCAAATAAGATCACAGGATAGACAGACATCATCCTCCGTTGCGAAACATTTGATTGAGACGGGTTATTATTTATTTTTATTATTATTATTATTATAAGCTTTATTCAATATTATATTTTCGGTACAATATAGAATTCTCAGCACAAAGTATTTCAACAAGTTCCCGTTTCTTTCTTCTTGGTCGATCCTGACGATAAATATTGAGTGATAGCCAGTTAGATGTTAGCAGTCCAGTAAATAAACATCTGAATAATGTATATTCTTTTCTCTGCATATTGCCAGCGACCACATTATCTCTTATTGAGCTTTTTGTAACTTTGACAACGAAAGGTTGTAAACTTTTCAGAAATGCACTAGGATGGGTTATGCGATTAATATACATAATGCTATATTAAAACAAACAAAAATAGATAACTTGTTGAAATATTTAGATGACAGGAACAGGTAGCCCAGATGCTCAAGCAGGCCACCAAATCGGCCGTCAAATTGGCATTTGTAATGTTATACAAAAGCCTTCAAGGACGTATACTAAGGTTTATTGAAACCTTGGCTATACGGAAATCGAAACCCCCTTTATGTGTTCAAAAATAGTTTGTCCTTACACTTAACCTACCCTGGTAATACTGATTTATTGTCCAGAGTGGTAATCATATTTGTTTTTGTGTACTTTAATATTTTTCCTCTGTTATGACTTACCCTTAACCTGTCTAGTTGACCTTTTAATTTTCATATATAAATGTTCTTAACAGGTATATGTGTGATCAGATTGTTCGAAATGTATTGCGCAAATATATCACATAATTCTGATAAACTTCGTCTTCTCATTGCATTATCGAAATTTATCTATTTTGGGGGATTATGGAAATTGTAGTATCTTGAAATTTGGATTCACGCGTCAATCTGAATTAGACCACCACTGAAAACCTGGAAATAATGGACGGCCGGTTCGTCCCAGTACATGGCTCCTCAGCAGTGCGCATGCACGGTCCCGCACGCTGGACTAGAACCCAGGATACGCTTAAACTTTATACCACTGAATTGGCATTCGACGGCATTTGCGTTCGAGACCGAAGGTCCGGTATTTTAGTCCCGCGAGCGGAATTGTGGATGCGCATCGCTGAAGAGCCCTATACAATCATCTTTGTCAAGTCAAAGAGTTTTTTTACATCTTGTTTTTTTCTCTATGTATAAATCAATTTTAAAAAATTTGGTAAGTCATGGTCTTTTGTAAAAATGATGTTTGTTATTTGCCATTCTTACTTATTTTAATGGCTACTGAAATATTCACTTTATATCCATTATACATCAATTGTTCGATGTTCATATATAAGGAAGATACTGTTTCTTTTCAAGTATAGATTCCAAGGAAGATGTTTAGAAAACCTTGTAAGAAACCTTTCTTGTACTTGAACCTAATATACTTACTTCCTTAAGTACACTTGAATTCAAAAATCCAACTGAAAATGATATCAAAGGAGTACTGACACACTTTTTGATTGATTTGTTGAGATATGATGTTATGTTCTTGTTATATCTGAAAGAGCCGCCGATTAGAGGACAGTGACTTATCGATCTTTTCAAGGGATTCAGAATCTCAAGACTATTCTGGTCTGTTGTCCCCGACTCAGCTAACGCGATCAAGAAGTCTTTGTAAGGCGTAGGAAGTGTATTCTACAGGCAAACAGCAGATACCAGGTCAGGTCAAGCACACAAGTCAAGCGTATTTATACAAATATTTACAATCGATATTGTCATAGTGAAATGTTTTTAAACATTAATCAATAAGTTCATCACTCGACAGCCATTCAAATATTTAATCGATAAGTTCGTCAATTGACTGCTATTTAATCATTTAATCGATAAGATGAAATTACAAAATATGAGTTTTGGGAATCTATCGTCCCCAACAGTTCTAAATTTAATCAGACTTCAGAAAAACACTTTATTACTGACACTAATTTTTCTATAAATTTCCCCTGAAATCTCATCCTTCAATAGAATATTGAATGAAGATTGTGAACGAAATTGTTAAGCTCTGTGGCTTATAAAATATCACGTCACAAAATCGCCAATCCGATTGTCGACTTCTATGACCTTGTCCCCGTGACAAACCGATGACAAGTCAGCCAGCACTAACAGCCTTGATTCAACTCCTTTGTATGACAACTCGCCTAGCCCAGACAGTCCAGGACGTGCGTTTCGTCCTATTTAGAGCTCGTCCACTGGATGTGCCTGCATCCCATTGTTAATGTCCACTCCGGGACTCGAACCCGGTACTGTTCCACTATTAGCCCCATCATCTCTACTTATTATGCTTGTGACTGAAGGCAATATCGAGGCAATCCGCACAGGATGCACATACAGCAATAAGAGACTAGTCAATTGCAGTTCTAACCATCAACGGGGAGATACAATCAACCAATACAAAAATGAAATAACTAAAGCGATAGTTTTCGAATATTTGGAGAACATCTAAAATGTATGGTGTGATAAAGATTCTAAGAAGGCCCAGTTCAGGTATAATTGCAGACTAATTCATTGAATCTTTTATGAATATAGGTCTAGTTCCAGACCTTTACGAATTTTAATGTTACAAAAATCATAGTGTTCATTGATTATTTCGAATGTGCGTATTCTATTCACATTGCATCACACATTGGCAGGTGGGTGAGCAATTTATTTTGTTTATTTATTTAAGCACATTAACTTTGGTACAAGGAGGCACCAAATAGATATGCGCCACATAAATCATTCGATTTGTGTGGGGACTGGGATACTTCCCGGGTGCCCAGACCGAAGCAGGTGATTTTCTTATGGGGTCACTCCCCAACCCTTTGACCTAAAGGTCTAATCCACAAGGCAGTGGAGCGACGTCAGGAGATGCAGTCCCATGGTAGCCAGTGACCAACAGTAGGTTCATACGCGATTTGCTCTCTCAGAATACTGGAGCCCGTGTATACCATCGGTTTGGAACCAGGGCCTTCCAAATCCCCTAGGTGGATCATCCATATCCACCGACTCGGTTAAAGCGCCAAACATTCACTTCTCGTACTCTCAATTTCGTAGCCAACACCCTCGCCACGAGGACTTCCCTGACAGTAGCTGTATATCCGAGGCCATGTAAGGGGATTTCTCGGCCGTACCAGGGCATTTGGCGGCTGTAAAGTATATGAGATTAAAAGAATAATAGTGTGACAAAAAGTACTTCTAACCTCTATTTGTCTTTTACCCGAAGCATTATGTACTGCTAGTTCAATTGTATAAGCTAATGATCTTGAAAATTTCACATCGACTAATTCAATGTCTTCAGAATCAATACAATCATCTGGATGGCCATAACCCATGGGAATAATCACAGTTACTGAATCGTTAAGTACGTCCTCACACAATAATCCAGTAGACTGTTGTACATTGATAAGATCCAGTGGTTCAGACACCTTAAAAACAACACAACAACACCGATGATAACCAGTAAGAAATAAGGCGGAATAATTTGAGCAACATATAGCAGTTTATTATATATCAGGTAGCTACAAACAGATCACATATTACATATTAGAAATTACTTTCTAAATATTCTCAGCTAATAAAATTTAAGTAATTCCAACGTCTGGGTCAGCAATCTTCTCTCGCCTTCTTCACGGTAACAATCAAAATTAAGACTATCAAAGAATATATTTAACAAAGGGGATTGGTGGAGATTGTAGAATTTTCAGTTTAGACCTAGAATCGATCTCAGTTGGTCCACCGTCAAAAGTCTGGAAGCACTGGATGGTAGCTTCATCTTAGTATGAGACTTCTTAACAGTACGCATCTACGACCTCACTATGAATGACCGAACCCAAGACCGTCTGTCTTGCTCCTGAACGTTTAACCACTGAGTCAAAGTCACGAGGTGTTGATATCTAATTTCAATCAGTTTACGATATTGCGCAACCTTTATCTATTGCCCATGGTGGATAACTATTTCACATCCAAGACGGATTGAACTCTATTGGTTACAGCTTCGCACTAGAACTCCAGGAGTTACATCTTGAAGTCAGTCACTAGTGAGCACAAGATTATTATTAGTGAAGAAGATTAGTACAGACTATACAGTTTTCATAGTTCAAATCAAAATAACCAATGGTATTGTAATGAGGCACTGGATTTTCTCACATCCCTGTCCACTTTTATAGTTGTTCAAATAAGTTGTATTTGTGTAGTTGTAAGTTCTAGGTGAATAATGTGAGGCTACTACGGTTTTATACTTGCTGTTTGGAGAAGAATGATACTACCCAAATAGTGAGACAAAAATAAGTGAAGTGCACTTACGACCTGATGCTTGGAATGGAGTACCTAAATTGATAACTTAGAAAACCTGTGTGTTCCTATTCAACAGAACTACGTAACTCTTGGTAGCAATACATGGATTCGGCCACGCAATATAAAACTATTAAGCAAATACATATTAAACAATAGTGGGAAAGGATTATTTGAAATACCTGAAGTATAATGCGACGGAAAAAATTATAATCAAATCCATGAGTAACTACTACTTCACTAACATATGGATAATCTTCCTAGGAGACGGCTTCCCAAAAAAGCTACTACGAAAAATCAATCCTCGAAGCTTATCAACAATTTTCTTCAGCTAATGTCAATAAATAGCATCTGTATTTGAAGTTTTCGATCAGTGAATTATGTTTATCATTGGATTTTCTGATTTAAAGTAGCGTCTTGATTAAATAAATATAATAATGCAACTCACTGATCGTGTGTTTAGGTTAGGTTACTCCACATGGAGTCAAACTTTTAATGTGAAAATTACTTATATTCTTCAGTTGTTAAAACTGAATTAGACGGAATCGTGGGTTGGCGACTGAGGCTTTCAACTTTCACCACTAAGTAGCAAATTTGAACCGCACTCCATTTGATTCAGTTTAGGAAGCTGGGTAGTGCCATTTTCTGTCACACTTAGTGTATTTTAAAGACAAGTATAAAAATCTGTAACTGATAAATGAGTAAAAAACAGTGTCAACAACTCAGTCGATCTTATAGTAGAAAATCACTTTATATTTGTATAAATCTTTATCATTGAACATACTGAACCATAGTTATACGTGAAGAACAAGGTAATCTCATTGAAAATAACAAATTATTTTACTTACCTCCTCTAATCTTTCACGTAAACATACCAAATTTTTATTTGATAAAGAGTGATATATATTTCTATATAGAATATCTGCTGCATTTATAGATGACCATTCCAAATTAGCACAAATTGATTTGATATTGGACACCATATGATGTTGTTCACATTTTAAACCGAATAGATATAAACCATTTGATGATTTTCTTCGATATATATTAACATCAGTGTCAGTTCGTAAACTTCTTGAACAAGGTTTAGTAATACCTAGCACAAAGTCAACCTGTAAAAAAGCAGAATAACTGTATAGTTTCGTTACCGTAAAATAGAATTAACTCATTTGCCAGGTGTCTGGTTTGAAGACACAATCTAAACGTGAGGGCTAATGGGACACACTTGGCTGCGCGAATCGAAGTAAGAGGAGCAAAATTCGAGCGAGATTTATTGGTTGAATGTTAAACTCGTTAACCAGTAAGCTACCGCTCTACTACGAAATATAAATAAACCATCAAAGTAACCAGTTCAAATTGTCAAAAGCCAAAACAATTTTTCTACTCAGTGGAATATGACAAAAATACATTTATTATTAACTCTCTACCCAATGCTTTATTTATTTAACCCTTTGATTTTGTTTCATGTCTTTATTCTTCTCACATTACTATTTATATGAACAAATTTGATACTTAGGCTATAACCATATATAATCTCTTATTTGATTCGATGTGCTGAGAATATTTTATCGAAATTTATGAGACAATACAATCTTATACCAATATATGCCAATAGTTTTAAAAAGATTTAGTGTGTAAAGGTGAGACTATAATTTATGGACGAGCTTTGAGTGACGCTAAACCGACTTTGAGTATGTCCACCTAATAACTAGGACCAAATGAAGGGTATAAACCAGTGTGAAAGATTAGAATTATGATTTACAGTTGATGGTCAAGGTTAGGAATTAGATTACGAATTGATATCAGCTATAATGCTAAAACGCTATTTAGCCAAATAGATGAGTGAATTTTGCGTCAAAATTCGAGACCTGTTGTCTTATATTTAGTTGGTTCGTCCATAAATTATAGTCACGCCGTGCGGCATAATAAGACTGATAGTAGAAATGCAATATTGAAGTGAATTAGGTTACAATACACGAAAATACGGAAAACATAAGTCGAATAAAAGTTGGCAAGAGATTTACAGAAGAATATGCCATGTAAAGTGTCTGTCATTAAAGGTTATTTTGAATTATATCCATTTTAATTTGTGAACAATAAGCCTAAGAGATTTTGAACGACAAAAACAAAAAAGTTATTTTATCGCTTATTATTGATTTAGCCGTCACTACTGTACTGGGTATCTAATGTTTACTTGTGTGGGAGTAGGTTGGAAGGAAACTAGAAGTCGTCAAAGTAAGACGTGTGATCGATCTCTGAAATCATTGGCTCTTAGACTGAGCCATGTTGATAAATTTGACCTAACTGATTGGGGTCTACGCGATTATCACACCCAATGGTTGGGGACAGGTGAGATAGATAACAATTGGTCACGGTAATGAAGATACATTTATTATTTATCTTCCCTTGAATCCTAATTTTCAAAATGATCTTACTGTTTTTATCCTAAGGATTGATTTACTCCCCTCGAATTATGCTGTCTACGTTTAGCCTTTTCCACTAACCAATAATGCTGTTACTATTTCTATTACTCTGACATTTACATTGATAATTTTATCATGAGGTGCTGATTTAGTATGGTAACTTGAACTGAAGTACATGTGTAGTAGATTCAGTTTGATATTAAAACTATTCTGAAATGAATTAAGTTTTAATAGATAATCATACTAAATAAATTTAACATAGTATGACATTGATAGAATTGTGTTGTGTGCAAATTGACGCAAACTAATATCATTCCATGATGAACATAACAACATTTGAAATATAGTATATTACAAAAAAAATCACATCGTTATATTTCAAAACACATCCGTTCTAAGCATCCATACGATCGTGACTGTTTTACATGATTTTACAAATGATAAAATTAATAAATGAACATGTGACTTTCGGTAGCAAAGTTTACAATCGATTTTATTCAATACAGACAACAATAATAAGGTATAACAATAATCTTTGCTAACATTCTTCCAAAGATCCATGGAAGTTCTTAAAAGTTGGATTTTTCAACTACTGTATCGTTTATCGTTTTTGCACACGATTTTCCCAAATCCAAGCGCTTTGGCAAACTTGCGTTTACAGATGGCACTCAAATTATACGTGACTATTCGGACACTGAATCGGTGATCATTAAGTATAAAGAATGACAGAAGTTCGATGTTGAGAACAAATTACAAAGTCCATGATCGTATTGATTTCGCGTTATCCGTAAAATTTTTATACACTTTACTGAAAAGCTCGATTCATTTGGAAAAAAAACATTCTTTTCAATGTACTATCCATATAAATAGCCCTGAATGTTTAATGAAGTTCGTTTGTTTATATAATATGTATCCATGTTTGTTGGGGGAACTGCTAATTCCCAAAATATGATATTATCAAAAAATCTATCTTAAAATTCACACATTGATTCAAGATGATTTTTCTTTATCATCATTCAGCATTATTAAGCTCATTGTAGATTTCTTTAAACTGGTTTTCTTTTATGCCCCAATAAGCATAATGAATGGTAACTTCTGGGATCCATTTATGGACCAATACTATGAGTATACTTTTATCGTATAACTGTTAAATAACTAAACTATTCATATTCATGTCCCTCTTATTATGAGCTTTATTTTGACCTACGAATTGTTATTATACGATTTACAATTCTTGAGTTATGCCCTGTCTACCAATTACTATCCCTCTTATTCACAGCCACATTTGACTAATTTTTGTACAAATGTTGTTTCTTATTTTATGGTACTATGTGGTCTGTCTGGTTGATATATAAACCCAGTATGTTTGAAATAAATGATTCATATCGCAGAGGTTGAGATTGGTGTTCTGGACTTAACTGGTTGGGCTAGGTAGGAAGTAGGACCGATAAGTACTCTAGACTGTTCGTACGGGTTTTTATGCGACATTGGTCCGATCGATAATTCACTGCTCTCTAATTAGCGTTATCGTTACGTTATACATTAGCGGGACACTCAGGCCACAAGTTATAACATTTTCAGCCTATTTTCATGCTTTATTAATTCGTCCAATATGAATTTGTTCTCATTTAGTTTTCAATAGTGTTTCACTATCTTAATTGATATACTGTGGCTTTTCTTTCAACAGAAAATTATTTAGTTTGATAATAATCATTGAATTTAATCGGTTTAAAATGAGTGAACTCAGTTGTAAATAATTCTCTGAGGTTTTTACCAAGTAAGTCTTTCTTAGAAGATTTGTGTTTGGAAGTAGTCGAGGTTAGGAAAAGAGGGAGTTGTCGTATCCCGGTTGGAAATGTTGTTAGAGGTACCGCTGTTACTGCGAACAAATCAGTGATTCTACTGGACGAAGTATACGTAGCACTAGAATTCATGGTGTACGACTTAATTTGGAACAAATCAGTTAGATTTAAGTGTTGATATAATCATTGGTACAATGAATATTAGAACATAAACTCCATATCATTTGGAAACACCATCAGTCAAAATCCTCATATTAATGACTAATAATAGTAAGAAATCTCGCCAGTCTTCTAACTTCCACTCACATTGAAGAAATATATCTGAGGTTCATTAACTGGTTTGAACTATACTATACTGAAATTAAATGACAGTAAATTTTTTTCCCCAACAGGAATGTACTTTTTAAGGGCACTAAGTCTCAACTAGTCAGGAGTGGCCAGTATATCTTATAACATACTTAAACACAAGCGAAATTTTTTTACCCTTCAAATCTAACAGAAAAAGAACATTTTTTCGCTTTATTTATCCTTTCACCTAATGTTTAAATGAAAACTTTCACTATAATTTCAAAAGTTACCTGACAATTTTCGTTTTTATTGGCCAATAGTTGAATAGTTTCAGTAAGTAAATGTTCACTCAAATTCATTGCACGTGGATTAATAAAAATTATGTAGTCTAGATTAGCTTTTAATGCTGTTTGTAGACCAACTTCAAGTAAGTCTGAGCAATCTTCTTTCTAAGGGTATAAAGGCGAAAATCAACAGATCAATAAGTCCCATTCAATTTTAAGACTGATTCACCGACAACCCTGAATTAGACAAACAAGTACGGAAAGCTTAAGAGGTATGACTATTCTATGGAAAACATCCGGAAATGTTACCAAATAAAATACCAAAAATAATACCGCTTAATCAGAGACTGGAAAAGTGATTTAGTAAATTGATTATTCAACAAAATTTAACGCATCTACAAAGTAGATGCAGTTATCAGTTTCCAAAATGAATTCCTTAGACTGAGATCTTGTATGATCCGTCACTTCGACTTAGTATTTGCTAAACTTAGCCCCAGGGAGCTGGTTTTAGTCCTATAATTTGACATATCTAATGCATCCCACGTGGTTAACCGCTAGCCTCTTACAGACAAGCTCAATTCATATAAGGTTAGAGATCGCTGAGTTCAGTAGTTGAATTCCTTCCTCAGTCATTAACACCAGATAGTTAAAATAAATCAGTCTCCATCGGTTGGTCATCCCAGTTACAAGTGGCATAATACCATGTAGTGTTTTAGAACGTCTGACCATTATATCCTACATAATTGATACATGTAAAAGGCTCGATACAGATAAACGTTTACTGCGTGCAGATGATTTGAATGTAGTGTACTCACTTTCTTCCCACCACCTAACCTGTATACAACATTGTATCAGAATGGAGTTCAACAAGGTCATCACTGGTGTTCAAAATGAAATTTGGGACTTAGTACTGATAAGTGTGTCCAGATTTACTACAGTGATTATCTCAATTTTGATTTCGCCATAAGTACTCAGGAACTATCTAGGCTTTATTCGGTAGTAAACTTAGGACTCAGATATTTCTATAATTTGTCCTTGCGGAGCAAGTTATAAGGCAGAAACATAAATTATGTAGACTTCTAGGCTGTATACTTTATGACCTACATAGCAGCAATTCGAGTATTTTATTGTACAAAGTATCTGTCTGACCACAAACAGAATCCTGCATTTTTATTTTGAGCAGTGTTTGCATCAAAGATAAACATAAATTGAGATCTGTTCAATATCCGTTTACACTTGTTATTCTTTGAGGTGATTATACACTAGGCCACAAATCCAGATACACTTAACTAGGGTTTGGTACCGTATGGAAACAGTTCCCCGAACCAAATTTAATATTTTTCTTCAAGATATTAAATAAATTATCTCTGACGTCTAACAATGCAGTAGTTTCGGAAATCACCTTGTTACAACCGTCGCAACTTAGTACCTAAAGTACAATCTTTTCATTCTAGGTTCGCTAGGTCTACTTAGCAAGTAAATTTTCGAGAATTCAGGACTTGAAACAATATAAACCATAAACAAATTTGTAGATTGATTCTTTTCAGGCAATGTATCCCTATATTTTTAAATGTTGGCTCCATTTGTATGTTTGACCATACCTGTAACTTGGTATATTCAGAATATGGCAATGGAAATCTAAATTTTAATACTATCTTCAGAAGTGTGTTAGCATACACAGCATCGAAGGAAATCCTCTACTAGTTACGATATATTAGCCGCATTTTCCAGTAAATCCTAATTATTATTAACTTATACATCACGTACTTGGGTATGAACCACACTGTGAAGGCTAATGATACTATTCGGCCGTCCCAGCCGATATAGGCGGAGCAGGGCTTGAAACTGAGACTTAACGGCTAAGTCAAAAACTCTAACCATTAAACTACCCTAACACAAGAAACGGTTGCTCAAAAAGGGGTAAAATGTAGTAAATTATATAAAAAACCTTACCTCAGAAGAAATATATTGAAATTTCAAGAGTAATTTGTTTTTCAGATTGGAAGCATGGTTAACAGCACTTAAACTTCGAAGACTATACGAGAACATACGATTGTAAAGCTGACCATAGGAGCAATAAATACGAGGATCTTCCAAGTTATGTTTACGACTTAAATTATTCCGAGTTGACGAAAGAATACAGCTGTATGAATCTGATTCTTTAATCTTTGAAAATATTAATAAATATCTATGTATACACAGTACGATGACAAACAAATAAAACAAACGTTATTAACTCCACTTATTTATTTATTTACTTGAACACGTAAATATTGGTACAAAAGGGCACCGAGTACATATGCGCCACACAAGTCACTTGATTTGTGTGTGGGCTGTAATACTACCTGGGTGTCCAGACCGAAGCGGGTGGTTTTCTTAGGGGGCCACACCCGGAGTATTTGACCTAGAGGTCTGATCCACAATAGAGTGGAGCAGTGTCAGGAGATGCAGTCCCATGGTAGCCGGTGACCAACACTAGGTCCGTACGCCATTTGTTCCCTCAGGATACTAGAGCCCATGTTCACCATTGGTTTGGAACCACGGTTTCCCAACTCCTCTAAGTGGATCCTCCCTGTCCACCAACCCGGTTAAAGCGCAGGACATTCGTCCTCTCAATTTCGTAAACGACACACACGCCGCTAGAATTCAGTGATTAGGACTTCCCTGGCAGTGGCTGTATACGCGTGACCACATGAGAGCATTTCGAGAGGATGAGAGGACTCTCCCCACCCTCGGCCGTACCAGGGCATTGGGGGGGCTAACCTGACCTAAAACATAACCTGCCAATGACTAGTCGAGCACAATGACTTTCCACTCTAAGTAAATCGGAAAGTAGTAAAAAGAAACAGATTTACATTCGTTCAATTCTCTATCTCGATAAAACTGAAACCATACTTTTTATATGTTACCGATAAAAAAAGTGATGTCTAATTACCTGATTAGCAGGGAATTTTTTGAAAAGACAAATTTTTATTTATAAGTGTGCAGTATCAGTTATAATCTAATAAATAAGACTAAGTAGAATAAGGAAAACTCCTCAAACGGAAACAACTACATTTAATATGTTGATAGGTCTTCTAAAATGTACGGAAAGTAGAACCCGATTTGCATTATAATGTTTTGTCAAATGACAAAATTAACTGTGAGAACAATGATTTTGATAGTTAAAAAACCAAAACTGCACTAAGATATTTCCCAAATTCTTGCTAACGGTACAAGCATTACGCGTCAATGTGCGCTATATCACAAGCAAACTGGAACCACAGCGTGGATATCATCCGGTTTTCTCTTCAATAATCAAATGGTAACTTATCATCCCAGCCGGAGAAGTTGTAATTTTGATTCCGCGTAACGATGAACGGTAAGGATTGTTCTAGTCTGAAACCAATACGAATCAGCATTCTTGGGCTACTTAATTATCAATGGTTTTCCAGAGATTGAGTCCACAATGGATTCCACCCGCATTAAACTACGTGTTCCCAGTCTTAATTTGGAGTATAGTTAAAACTTCTCAGTCATCATTGGATTACTAACCATGGATTTATTCCTACTGCTCTGAAACACAACTTACAAAATGTGCCTACTGAAGCCCGGCTCTGTTTGACCTCTGCTTTTGGTTTTTATTAACTTGTGGTTTATGTAAATTATATTTAGCCCATACCACAGCAAACGTAACTGAAAACTCTACCCTTGCAAACCTACACTCATTCTTCGTGACTAACATAACCATAACTGCACATGAATAAATATACCTTGGGTAGATTTTACACTTAAATCTCTTTTATCACAAATAAATGGGTTGGTAACAATAAGTGTACAGAAAAGAATGGTTCGAATAAACTATGTATCGACTGGCATTGAACGAACTTCAACACTTCAAATGATTTTAGAACACTGAATTATCAGCTGAAAACTATTTTAATAAGACAAACTAGGGGTTTTGAAGTTTTGAATGCGGCTCAACAGAGGACTTAATGAACTGATGTTACCTGGATTTTGTGCTCAGGACTTCTTTTATTTACTTTAAGTTAAACAAACACTACGTTGGAGAATGAAACATACGAACAGAATTTATCATGAGTAGCTGAAATACCTTATTATGATTATTAGCAAAGTGAGGTTTTGAGTAGTTATGATTAGGCAGGACGTTAAGCCATTTGTTGAGATCGTATAGACTACCCCTTGTTTTAGTGTACACCAGTATTAAATCTGTATTCTTGATCGAAATTCCGAGATCTTTCTTTTGAATGCAGTTAGCTACCCATGAAACAATAACATCGACCGAATTTTCACCAAGGACTCTTTCAAATAAGGACGGATTTTTTAGAAATCTTGAAATAACATCTCTTGAATACTCATCTTGAGGTTCTTGTCTTTGAATGTGGTGGTTAGTAATCACAACGACTCCAAGTCTGCTAACTGAACTCACCGGTTCCCATTCGTTTCCGTTATAAGTACCTTAATAGAAAACTTATAATAGCCAAGGAGTCTTAAATTACGTTTTAATGGTAATCCTTCTTTCAGTCCATTGTAGATTTCCCTGAAGCATGAAATGACGATATACAAGAAGTTACTAGTAACCTTTAGCACTATGATACCAATAAGCTTAATGAGGAGCAAAATACTAGCCATTGCGTAACGTAAGAGATCAAATTAACACCTTTGATTAAAGGTCAACCATACATTTGGACGAAAATGCACTTAAAGATCCTTGTCCGATAGCAACGGAATAATATTGAGTCTAAATAGAGACTTGGTCGCACGAAACAAATACAAATTAACACTTGTTAGGTAATTGTTCAGTATCTTGAATAGTAGATCAAGTTTCCTCTCTAAGGACTCCGAAGGAAGGAATTAAAGATAGAACAATGGGGTGATTACTGCTCTCTGCTTAGCATTTGCATCGGCTTCGCTAAACTCTGTGTTTGCGTTCATATTTACTGCAAAAAGCTAACCACTACTATTAAGAGTAGTTCTAGAGTGTGTATACAAGACTGTGTCCAGTAAAACTTATGAGGTCAGAATCAATGTCAAAGACCTGCAGAACTGTTTATTTCGAGGATTTGTTCAATGGTACACTGTTGCTACTCTTTCTGTGAATGTCCTGCTGTCTAAGAATAAGTGATCCAGGCGCATATAGCTGCTCTTTTTGGTTAGGAAATTATCTAAGGGATAGAGTATCCTGCGCTGGAGTCACTGGAGCGTTATCAAAATGGAGGACGCTCGTGTCTGCGACTTTACGAGGAGCCAGACGGGACTCTGCAGTTCCTCCTATCCATTATCGGCCCTCCAGAAAATTTTAATTCATCAGTGCCTACTAGTGAGAACGATGATGAACTGTGAACATCTGTTAGGTAAAAAAACTAAGCTACGGGAGATCTAGAAAACATGTTACTGTCGGGAAAATAGACACTTCGTAATGATGCACAGCATGCTAAGTATTTGACGTCATGTCTAAACCGAACCTACCCAACCTTCATAAGGCAAACCAGGACGAATTGAAAATCAAAGATCCAATAGATAAGTGAGGTCATGGATTCCCCCCTTACGGATTTGCTCTATGCAAAATTCTTTCTGATATGACGTGAACAAATCTCCGTTTGTTGAAGGCTTTAAGAGAACGTGAACAATCATTTACTCACCCCATAGGAGAGTTATGTACCCATATTTCTGTGTACATAAGTTGCAAGCGGTTTTCGTGCATTTTTACGTTTGTTCAAATAGCGAGTGCTGAATATGAGGGCACATTTTTCACTGACGATTAAATCCCTGATGATTACAACATTTTATGCGTCACTTAGTGTTTTGACAAGGTTTCTTGATCATTTGCCAAACAACACAAAACAATCGTCAGGCGAACATAGGGTGGTTACCACTTCCTTCAAAGTGACCATATTCTGTGGCCCAAGGAATCCGCACGATTAAACTACAGGGTATTTGACAAATCAGTTGTTAAGAAATACGAAACCGGTTACTTGCAAAAAAAGAAGAGTGGCTTCGCGGATGGAGGAACGTATCTCTGTTCACCGTACTTATAATAATTCGGCTCGCTCATATGAGCGATCACAATTTCCGACAGCTGTACACATTTCCAACAAGTGTGGTGCGTGATTTCAACTCTCCACGATCAACCAAATCAAAGAGTAGCAACCACGAATATAGGTACTCAATATGTCATCCAACGAAGACCAGTGACTAAGCAAGACGAAATTAGACCAGCCAGCAAGAAACTGTACCATGTCAAAGAAGGGACCAACTAACCTAGATTATATCCTAAATGAGTGATCCCAGTCTTATGTGAACCAAAAAGTGCATTAAGTATTTGGAAATAAAGGCCTCGAAAATATTAACCTTATATGTGACAGAAGACAATGAGATATTATTACACATGAATTGATGGATTTTCACATACGTTAACAAAAAACATACGAAAATGATCTCACAGTACAACCATATTAGGTTATGTACGTTTAAATGGATTATTTCACACCAAATAAAACTTATGGTTACATCTAACGTAAGTCACTTTATTTTCGGCTGAGAATTATATTTAGATGCATAATATATGAATAAGTTGGTGTATACAACCATAAGAGCAGACTTTTTTGCAGATAACATAGTACCCAGGTAGGGTTACTAAATCGGTAGAATCATTGAAGGTATGATAGGATATTCATGCCCCTACACCAGCAAGTTAATAAATAGGTCCACATTTTAGATCTATACCATGAGTCCCTAGATATTACACTCTGTTCAAAAATAGCATTTCATACAAACTGTGACCTTAGTAAACTCATATCTGACCCAAACTTCCCTTAATCGTGTTACAATTCTGTTGCTCAAAGGAGGGATGAGATGGGGCACTCGAGTGAACAGTAGCCAGTGGTCCGCTAAACCTAGCCGTTTGCAGTGGATATTCAGCTATTCTAATTAGTAGGCATAATCTGAACTAATTATCGGGCCTGAAATTAAACCATCAATGAGGAAACTCCGGATGTACCATAAGAACTAATGACGGTGTGTGATGAATTGTAACTGGGATGCAGACCCCAGCTGATGGGAAGAAGGCTGAAGAGCAGATTGGGATATACTTTTAATGATTTCAAAAAATTAACAGGGATGTCGAGTATCTAAGCACCCAGCTAACCTTATCACCATAGCCATTTCTATTATTGTACCTATTCTTATCACTGTTATCGTATGCCGACCGTTGATGCTTGGCGTAAGTGTCTAAAACTTCTTGAAATAGATAGACTTGGTAGAATAGCGAAGTCAAAACAAGGTAAAAAAAAACGTATTCTTGATAAGCAGAAAACATGTGAAAATAACCTCAATATCACTGGATGTTTGCCTCACCACCAACCATAAAGAGCCTGAAATAATGGGATGTTCTAACCCACAAGCCTGAGTAGGTTGATATCATCACCCTCATTAGCAACGTTTGCCGTTCATTAACTTCACACTCTTTTTGACATTATGCTTTTTTAAAGTGGTGCTTAGATTGAAACTATGTAAAACTCCAAACTCTTATGGATTCATCAATAGTGGCCATTGTCACACCAACCACGTAAAACTTATGAATTCTACCTATTGCAGAAGGAAATTTGAGTCGAAATAGCGTCGCACATTTGTATGGATAAGGTAGTTAGATGTGGGACGATTAAGCTGCAGATACTATCGAAAGTTCTAGAATTGTCTCCAATACGGCGTCGCTGTTCGGTTTCATGTTTTCACATAGTCTAGTAACATATGTCACAAAATTGTACCGAATAACAGAAATATATGTAGCACATAGGTGGTGATATACAGATGTGAAATTGAAATAGCTTACCCCGTTGATCCATTTTTCGACACTGATATCTGAGGAGGTCGATGTTTGATTGATAATAGGACAATTACCTGAATAAAACTAATGATGATGGAACATCCTCAGACCACTGTGGATTAAAAGTTTATATTCCCTAAGAAATCAGTATATTATCATTCGCCAATTAAATAAAAGTGTTTTGTACATACTGCTCTAGAATTATGGTCTAGTTTGTTATTAGCACTGCTGTAATAATAGGCACAACCTTAAGATTATAGATTTGTCAAGATATGACTACCTAATCTATGAGATCTTACGTGGAAGGTAAATCATCGTATACTCTTACTAGTCGGACAAGCAGCAATATAATGTTTGATGTTTCTAAAGGACACATTCAGGCTGAATATAGAACAACATATTTTATATGTATAAAAGAAATATTTTGCACAAAAATGACCACGCCCGCAAGACTGACCTATACCATCCGAACGAGTCAATGAATCTTTCCATGTACACCCTTGTCGACATTCTCCTCACGTTAATTGTTGAACATTAATCTTTTCAACAATGATATGCCCAGCTTCAAAAGTCATGTGGTTAGGAATCGATGTCTCTACAGTTTTTTGTTTTTTTAAACTAAACAGTTGGTGATTCCCTGCCAATAGACCAGTAATCTTCTCAAATCGAAAATTTTCACCTTCAGATGACAACAATTAGTGATGTTTTACAAAGTGGGTGTAAGATCCAAACTACGGTTGGACTGATGGACAGCTGTCTGGATGAGTTAGATACGCGCCCTCGCCCGTTTGAAACCAAAACAAAGTAATTGGGTAAGATGACGATTCTATAATTTATCATAAATTTAGGTGTACATTATTACCTAAACAAATATAACCACTCAGCTATCCAACCAATAATTGTTCAATTGATCAAATCAATCACCACAAATAAACGTTATTCTATCCTGTCTGGATAGATGACGTACAGATTCGTTCAGAAGGTAATAATTGGTCGCTCTATGACACGGTGTGTTTTCAATTCTGGAAAGTGCTTCAATTCACAACCAAAATGCACTATTCCAGTCAACACAGGTTAAGCAATCAAGAGCAGGAACAAAATAATCTGGATGCCGCCCAGACTTAGTTTAAAGTAAAACAACATAAGTGCAGTTCGGGAAGAAACACGGGGAATTAGTGAAGGTGTAGTAAAAACAAAAACTATAGTAAAATACAAATATTAACAATTCAAATGTAATCAAAAACTAACAACGTACAACTGAGAGGATCAATAGAAACAAAGTGTAAGTATATACATGAGGGATTTTCACAAACACACAAAGGATTTAAAATGGATCTTACAGTGGGTCATCCTTGATGAAACCTTAATATTGCCCACTCTCAGATGGAAATATTCAAACAACCATCCAGTTCATTATACCATTCATGTGTCACATAAACACGATATTACAGGTGTCATCGCGAGGTTATAAATTCACCATGATCCGTACACCTGGTACAGACAAGCGGTCAGAGGGTGCAGGTTTCCTGCGAAAAAGAGGACGTTATTTTTTTCTTCGAAAAGCCTAAAACAGTCAAACTAAAATATATAATTTACATAATTCTCTTTGTAAGATCCGTCTTTGTTGGGAACGTTAGATCCCCAGAACCCACTTGGAAAAGCGTCTAATTCCGTAATTTTATTCTGAAAATTTGAATTCCTTTGGTTTCGCGCCAAAAGTGCTATTTTCACCTTCATTTCATATTTCTAACTTGGGGTCAATCTTAAACGCTATTGGTCCATTGTGTCTTTTAGTATGCTATTTTGTAAAGCTTCCCAAGGACGGTTTTGTTCTGTATATATA